TGTTTCTAGTTGGGTCTCACTGGAATCTGTTCTTGGCCCAATGATATTAATGATCTTTATCAAAGATCAGAGAGGAAATTATAAAATCTTTGCTGGTAAGGTTTGCAGATAACACAAATATTAGTAAGGTGGTAAATAATAATGACAGATCAGTTATATAGAATGTTATGGATTGATGATAAACTGGGTTCATTCAAACAAAATGCATTTAATATAGCCAAATTTACAGTCCAACATGTAGGAACAAAGAATGTGGGTCTCACATACAGGATGGGGGACTGTATCAATAGGCTTGCTTATTGAGCAGGGCATCTCACTGGGAGCACATGACACCAGTGTTCTGGGATCTGCACTGGCAGCCCATTGGTCTCCAGCAGAGGTGATCCCGTGGAGGGCATGCTGGGTCACGTGCCCTCCATATTCATTGCTTGGTTTGTACTGAGCATGCTCAGTAACGCTGCTGAAGCCAGCTGCTCTCACTCTGCCCACCAGATGGATGGAGTTTAGGATGTTGGTTTGTGACCTATAAATTGCTAAATAACACGTATCTGGCCTTGCTGCTAGACTGCCTCTCTCCTCCGGCCATACTGCTCAGCCACGGTCAGGAGGGGCACTTGAGTTGGATCTTCCTAGTTATCAAAGAGAGGGGCAGATGGTAGGGAGCTTTCTGTGAGAGCTCCGAGACTCTGAAAATTGCTCACCCATTGTTGGGAAATGGCCGAGGGTATATTTTTTAGATGATGAAATGGATAGGTGGCTGGCTGGCTGTATTCCTGTGGAACTGATTTCTTTTAACTGAATATACTGAATAATTAATTATGTTAAGACACCTAGAGTCTTGGATAGGCATCTTGACTAAATCTAAATAAACAAAAACAAAAAAATCCTAGAAAGCAGTGACTCTTAAGAGGACATAGGGGTCACAGTGAATATGCAACTGGACATGAGCTCCCCATGTGATGATGTGGCTAAGAGAGCTAATGTGAACTTTGTAAGTAGAAACAGGAGAATATTGAGAAGTATGGTGAAGTTATTACCTTTTTATATGGCATTGGTCTTAAATCCTTATTTCATGTCTTTCTTAAAAATATGCTTTAGTTGAACCTGATCAACCTTATAGGCTTGATGTAGAAATTAATGGGTAAAATTCTGTGTGTTATGCAAATGGTCAGCTTAGAATAGATGATCATAATGGTCCCTTCTGGTCTTAACATCTATAAATCTTTGTAGAAAATGTCAGTTTCCATTAATTATATCAAGGGTAAGCTTGGCTTTTAAGCTTCAAATGAGTGATGTCCAGTAAAAATACATGATGCTATTCATAAAGAAAAAAGAAAAAAAGAGGAAATAAAATTGACCTTATTGTCTAAGAAATACAAGAGTATTAGAAGTAGATAGGTTGACTTGTCTGCTCTTGCTCCTAATAGCTAGCTATCTAGCTGCCATTTGTGAGGTGGTGTACTGCCCTTCCAGGTTTCAGCCACAGAAATCATATGGACTTGAGGTATTCCATCCCAAACTGTTCTCAAGGAAAAAAATGCAAAACGTTACAATTATATCTATGTGATGTGACATGAAAGATTGTCTTCATTATAATGCCTTAAGCTCAACAGCCTGCTGATCTTCTCTTGGAAGAGCAATGGGAGGTCAGAGGCACAAATTTCAGAAACTAAAGGAAGGTGTCTTGTCCAAATAGGTGGAGGGAGTATATCTTTATCTTTTTAAACACTTCTTTTTTATTTCTCTTTCTACTCTTACTGACCGAAGGAAGCACTAAGCATTGGACCTAATATGTTTTAGTTGCATTTTGTTCTTTAAAAGATCTTTTAAATATAGAACCCCAGAAATAGAGAGACTTGGCTGTAAACCAGAACCCAGAGTTCCTGGTGTCTGTGGGTACATCTCCATGGGGATAAAGCCACACAGTACCGCCATAGCTGGCCTGGGTCAGCTGAATCGGGCTTGTGGGGCTAAAAATTACTCTGTAGATGTTTGGGCTCAGGCTCACAGGGTTCCAGAGTTCGGGCTGCAGCCCAAGCGTGAACATCCACATAGCACTTTTTCAGCCCTGGAGCCAAAGCCCAGTGAGCCCGAGTCACCTGACCCAGGCCAGCTATGGGTTTTTTATCTCCGTGTAGACACACCCTGTTTGTACAGCTAACCCAGGCAGTGCTAAACCATCCACCATGGAACTTGCAGTATCATAGCAGTTTTTCTTGGGTACATCAGTGGTCTGCAATGTCTGCTAATAAGGATAGAGGTCTCAGAATCACTTTTTAGAGCCCAACAATTTTCGTCATGTTCTAACAGTATGTTGCAACATGTTGACATTTATGCTGTGATGTTCCAAGAGAAGAATTGGTCTCAGTGAGAATTGATCCTGAAGCAGAATTCCAAACACCAGAGCATTCTTTCTACTTTTTCTGTTTGTCAGTAGCCAAGCAGAGGAGTTGACAGTCTATCACAAACGTGAAACGGAAATAGTGTTTCTGTGAATCACAGTATTTTGCAGTACCAAATCCATATATATTTAACCCAGTTAAATTAACAGATTTCTTTCATTTTTAAAGAAAGTTTAATACAACAGAGTATCATCCTTTTTGTGGTGTTCATTTGTAGTTTGAGAGTGAATCCCTAGTTCCTGATCTGACAATCTTTACTACATTGAGTAGTCCTTACTAATGAGATTAGTTCTGTTGGAGTCAATAGGACTACATAAGAGAATAAGAATAAGGGCTTGCCATAGTGGATCTTGGATAGCAAAGCGACTATAATTCTTAGTCTTCCTAAGCAGGACATTCAATGGAAAAATTGCAGTGTCAGGACCCTAGCATTGAACCCAGGTCTCTCAGTATCTTTAGCCATTGTGCCATGGCAATACATCAAACTGCTGCCCCAACCAACAGCCTTAGTGCTAAAGGCCTACAGGCCCACAGCAGCCAGGCACCTGATTGGATGGACAGGCAGTACTCTCATTGGGTGCCTCTCATTGGAGGGCTATATAAACCCCCCAACAGGAAGAGGAAGCTGTCTGAGTGACAGACCATTGCCTGCTGATTGCGGCTTAGACCACCTTGCCATGCTTCTCTGCCTGAGCCAACCTTGCTGCCTTGCTGTTTAAAAGAAAAATGCTGCCATGTTGCCTGACCTCGACTCCCCAACTCACTGACCCAGCCCCTTGGATTGGATCTTCTGGCTGCTGATCCCTGCGAGAATGATGACAATTGCCCCAGACTGCCTCCAATACAGATTGACCTCTTGGCTACCCAATTACTCACGCACCCTTGACTACAGCTCTGGACTGCCCCCTAGCCCGCCTTGGCCACTGGGCATTACAAGAAGTTTGCAAACTGCATCAGTTGGCAACAGTTCGGCTGCTGTCAATCTCATTTCCTTCCCTAAAAGTGTAACTTGTGATTAATATTTTATGCAAGCAGAACTTCTTTGACAAAAGTATCAAATTCATGATCAACATCTTAGTAAACTATGAACTGTTTTTGTTTTGTTTTATTTTTAAAGCAAGTAAAATATCCTCGGTACTTTAGAATGATTTTGCAACATTTATGGAGAAAATTGATTTCCCCCCTCTCCTTAAGTCATAATGATGGTATTGTATAGAGTGGAATAGAATGGTTTTCTAAGTTGATTTTCATACTCTGAAAGAACTTTATGAAGCAGTAATTTTGTTAATGGCAATGCAATAGTAATGTAATACACCCAATATGGCAGCTATATATTATGCATTCAGCAATAACTTAAAAACATCCTTGAAAACTGTAACCTATTTATTGGGACTGGAGAGAGGGAATATTGGCTAGAAGGACACACAGGTTATCCCTTTTCAAAAAATGTGAATACATCTAGTTGAAAATTATCCATCTAAGTGTTTATCAATGGAAATTTGGGGTTTGACTAAATTAAATATTTTGGCCAAAAAACCCAAAATATTTTGATTTGGGTGTGCTGTTGCAGTGCCTCATTGGACTTGTCCTCAGTTGTCTTATATTCTCTGTGGGCCAGGTCTCCCAGACCGACACAATCCCCTGTGATGCACATTGGCCATGTGACTCCCATGATGCACTGCTTCCCCTCACTAAGAGAGAAGACCATTGTTCATCCTGAGAGATGTAATCCCAACAGGGAGCCCAGCCTATAGGGAAGATCAGGGGTGAGGGGGAGGCATGAGGCACCCAGACTTACAACTCTTATGAGGCAGCGCAACAACATATTGGAATAAAATTTCTTGCTAAAGTATTCAGATTTTTATTTATTTGTTTGTTTATTTAAACCAGCAAGTCTAAATTTTCCATGGGGGTAGGAGGGACATTTTTGACCTCCTCTGGTTGTGAGGCTTTTAACTTTACTTGGACAGCAGAAGGGACTTCAGAATCCTTCAAAAGAGGATGATTTAATAGCACATTTCTACCTTGTCAGCATTAAGATGAAAGCTCAAGTCTTGGGGTGGTACGTGACACTTTTATTAAGAGGCAAGAGTGCTAGCTGCTGAACCTTCCTGACACACCAGGCTTTATCTAGTTTTATTTTTTATGGAATCAATAGACCTCTGGAGTATGGGCTATTTAAGTTTAAAGCCTCTATTTCTGTGCTTTACCTGGGTTCTGACAACTTTAGTTCTTTTTTGAGATTAGTAACGTAACGAACTACTGTGTGTTTCAGATGCCAAAATGAGTCCAGCTTCTCCTATCATGTTAGTTATTAAATCCTGTCCAAAAGATTTCTTATTCGTTGATGCTGGAATTAATGGAGGTGCATTCAAAGGGAACATGTATTTTTATATTGACTCTTAATATGTTTTTGTTTTAATTTTGTTTTGTAAATTGTATTCAACCACAGTTTGCTCTAATGCCATTGACTTTAATCCAGAACAAGCATTCTTCCAACATCTTTTGTTTGTTTGTTGCAATATTAAAGAGAGCTATTTTTTTGTAGCAGTATCTACTCACAGATACTAATTATTCCTTCTCTTGCCATTTCTTTAGGGGATGTATATCAAGTCAACATATGATGGGCTGCATGTAATCACTGGGACTACTGAAAATGTAAGATGCTTTATTCCAATGAGACCTGTTTATTACACCTACAGTTAGCAAGAGACATGTATACTCGGTATATTTCATATTATGAAGATTTGTTTTAAATCAAGCCACTGTTTATTAATGCTTTAATTTTTTGAGTACCTTCATTATTATGTAAAAAAATATATACAGCAGATGCTGCTTAATAGCAATCCTGATATTAACAACTTCTAGTTAATAGCAATGTTTTGCTGGGTGCCAGTCCTGTCCCATTGACTTTAATGTTAGTAGGATTTGGATATTGGTTACAAGCATGCCACTTATTGATAGCTTTTTTACATGTCTTCCCTGGCAGGAGTCCCACACACCTGTCTACAGCTGGTGAGGGGGCAGCAGCAGGAAGGAGATTGCAGCCCAGCTGCCAAGGCTTTCCATGGGGAGCAGGGGCACTGGGGGCCTGCAGGGCTGCAGGATACCTCTCCTGGTGTTCTCCGGGTTGTGCCCTGTCCTGGCACCATCTCAGCGCTTCCTTCCTTGGCTGCAGCCCTACAAAGCCCCAATGTTGCGGTGCTTCATCCAGGGCAGGAAGTGCTAGGATGTACTGAGCACTATCTGTAGGCAGGTTTGGAGGGCTGCAGCCTGGGAAGGCACCTCAAATAATAGCAACTGTTTTCTGAGAACCAACAGGCTGCTAATAAGCAGAATCCGCTGTATTTCTTCCATAAAAGAAGTACATCCATAGTATCTATTTACTGATTTTAAAACCATTAGCATTATATACATAGAAACAAACAAAAAAATAATGAAGAGCAACAAACAAAGGCTTTAAAAAAACAAAATCCCACCCATTGGCCCCACCACACTTCCCTAATGAGCTTGTGTACCCAATTTTCCACTAGCAAATGTTTGCTTTTATAGGAGATAATTTTTCCTCACATGACGGTCATTGTTGTCATTAATCTTATATAATTTCTGTCATGTCAAAATGTCAGTCTTCTAAATCATGACTAAAGAGATCTTCTGCCTGTTCTGGATCAATTTCTATGCATAATCAAGGGCAATTGCTATCCATTTTTAAAGACTTTGTTATCCCATGTGTTGACAGAAAATCATGTAGTAAATATAAGTCAGACTCGGTAATTTCTGATTCTGTATTTTATAGACTTTATCAAGCTTGGCTAGAAATGCCTCTTAGGTAATTTCTTAATATGTCCAAATACTATAACTGTCCAAGCACTGATCATCACACACCTGGATTACTGTAATCACCTCCTCTGGCCTTAATGTCTGCATTCTTCCCCCCTTCAAGTCCATTCAACAGGCTGTTAAAATCATTTTCCTAATCCATCATTCTGACTGTCATCCCCTCTCTCTTTCACTACATCAAAAACAATTTTTTGTCCCAACTTACAAAGCCCTCCACAACTTAGCTCTCCCCTTCCTATCCTACCTTTTATATTATCATAAGATTGATTCCTGCCTTCGGTTCATTAATGGTGTCAGCCTCAATTATCCAATTCTCCAGTTCTCTTACAAGCACCTTCACATTTTCTCCCATGCTGCTCCTTACAAATGAGAGAAACTCCCAGTCGATAGAGCCGGCTCCTAAGCCTCCTTCAAGTCCCTCCTCTAAACCTGCTTCTTCCGTAGTGCATCAGGAATGGCTTGGCAGGTGGAGAGTTGTGATTGTTGCTGCTGATTGTCTGAGAATCATTGCACATATCCTGCTTTTTTAACCCTTTCTCTCCTGCTCCACAACCTGACCCACTGTTTGTCATCTCCACCTATTATGTGTTGTCCTTTGGATTGTAAACTCTTTTGAGGCAGGGACTTTCTACCTGTTTGTACAGCCCATAGCACAGTAGGGCCCTAACCAAAAAACGTGGACGATATGGCATTAGAAAGGTTAAAATATTAATGATATATGAAAAATATGCTACTTAGTAAACCGTCATTATATTCAGAGCATTAGCTAAAACAGAGTGGAGTGGATCACAAATTTTTCATATTAATATTTAGTACATTTCATACATTGTCCATTAGTTAATTTTCCCAGTGAATCTCTCCTGTGAGTGTTGTGTAAGTTGGCTATTTTTATATAGAGACTTCATGCTAAGAATTTGGCATGTGTCTTACTCTATATTTAGTAGTGATGTACTGTAGTCTAGTATTAATGTATATGTTTTATTATATCATAATTATTTCTACACTTAGTAGTGATATACTGTAGACTAGAGTTGCCAACTTTGACTGAAGCTATTCCGGGAGATTTTTTCCCCAACATGACATAATGTAATTTTCTTAAAATATCCTATTAAAATCTCCTGGATTGCTTTCAATAGTTACCAGGAGATTGATGCCAATTCCGGGAGATTCCAAGCCAATCCTGGAGGGTTGGCAACCCTATTGTAGACTGGTACTTTCCAGACTATTGAGAAAAGATAAATGAGTCTCTCTCTCTTTCACAACTAAGATGAGGCACAAATATATCTTTTCCTGGTCTTTAGAAGGCCAACTGTAATATGGAGCAGTCACAGGGTGACACTGGCCCTTTAAGAGGGAGTAGCACCAGAGTACCTGTGCCTAGTCAGCTAACCCCAATTAGGTTTAAAGCGGGCATCTGGGTCAGAGGAAGACCCAGTGAGAGAGACTGTCATCTGGTGAGTGAGAACTAGGAAGCTGCAGGATGTAGAAGCAGCAGGACTTCTAGAATTTTCTGGGAGGGCAGGCAGTGAGTGCCTGGGAGGTACTGCAGAAAGCAGGAGCAGCCTAAGAGGTGAGCCAGTGAGAACCTGAGAGGAACTGTTCATAAAATGGTATCCAGGGAGAAAAGCCTTGGGTGATGGTGCTCAGAGAACAGGGCACAGAAGTAGGCCCAACTGCCAGAGACCCTGGAAAGGGTAGGCAGTGAGAGCCTGAGAGATAAAGGAGGGGGGAAAGTCCCCTGGGGACTGTAGCCCAGGATGAGTTGAAAAACTGTTTTTGTTTGCTTTGCCTGGGTTTGAGAAATAAAACTCCCCAGAAGAAACTGTGGGCATGCCAGTGGATGCATTGCCGGCTGGGGAGAATCCCTGCCTTTTTACAGGCAGTTTATTTGTGAATGTATACTATTAGGTATGCTCTGATCCACCTAATACCTGTTTAGTTGTTGCCTCAGATGCAACAGGAAAGTTTTGCATGTACATACAGTGTCCATGAATGATGCTGAAAAGTGTCACGCACTTTCAACTACCAGAATTGGGCAGAACAGACATTCACAACGTTACAGAGTGAAAGATGAGTGCAGTTGCTGTTTGGCAGCTCTTAATATACTACAATGGTGCTATTTATGTACTAAAATTGCAATGCAATGGTAAATAATTTTAGTTAAATGTTCTTTTGCTTCCTTGTGTAATCAGAATGGATTGTAAAAATGTGCTAGAACTAGTCTTAGCCAAACTAATCTAATCTAAAGGTTAACCGGCTTTATTAACAATGGCAGAAAAATGACCATTGTAGACTTTTGGAGGAGTTGTTATCAGGCAAATGTATACACCTTTCACTCTATCATGTTACATTTGCTAGGATTGACTCATAGAAACTGTATCTCAAACTCTTTACATAATTAGGTAATAAAAGAAATCTAATAATAAAAGTGTGTGTGGTGTAGATAATTGAAGCAAACAGACATATGCCCAGAGGAAAATTTGACAGGCATAGGCAATAGTGGAAGATACATTTAAAGAAGAGATTTGAAACGTGGTCAGTGATGCACAGATAAAGAAGGAGGTCTGAGGTGGTAGGCACTGCTGAGGAGAAAACTATCACGCTAACAGTGGCAAGATTGTGGGAAAGGGCAAACTGAGACAGGGGCTATATGAGAAGGGAGAGCTGGAAAGGAATAGGAAAACAAAAATCTATGGGGAAAAATAAAAACAAGGCAAGGCACTTTTGAACTCAATACAAAAATAGATGGTTAGCTAGTACACTTGTTTGAGGGTGGAAGTGGGAATTCCCACTCTTTGGTATATGTGAGAAAGTGGCCTGCAGAATTCTATACATTCTGGAGTTTAAAGAGCTAAGGCCTGTGGAGGGCATTGAGGAGCATGTTACATTATCAAGAAGAAAGGAAATGAAGGCATGAACTGGGATAGCAGCAGGGAGGGAATCAGGTCAGTTGTGTACCCAGGCAATGTTGTGAAAGTATTGAGGCATATTTACAGATAACAGCCTCTGGCATGTTAGAACAATGTAGGTAAGGGAAGTTGGCGAGCCGGATCCGTAACTTCGGGATAAGGATTGGCTCTAAGGGCTGGGTCGGTCGGGCTGGGGTGCGAAGCGGGGCTGGGCGCGAGCCGCGGCTGGATGAGGCGCCGCCCTCTCCCGGGGGCGGCAGTGACTCTAGACACGAGCCGGGCCCTTCCTGTGGATCACCCCAGCTGCGGCGGGCGTCTCTCACCTCTCCCCCTCCGCGGGGATGGGCGGGGGGCCGGCGTTCCGCCTCGGCCGGTGCCTAGCAGCTGATTTAGAACTGGTGTGGACCAGGGGAATCCGACTGTTTAAATAAAACAAAGCATCGCGAAGGCCTAAGGCAGGTGTTGACGCGATGTGATTTCTGCCCAGTGCTCTGGCCTTGAAGGCTAGGGCGCGGGCGAAGCCGCCGCAGATCTCCTAGACCTGAAAGGGACGCTGAAAGGTCATCGAGTCCAGCCCCCTCCCTTCACTAGCAGAACCAAGTACTGATTTTGCCCCAGATCCCTAAGTGGCCCCCTCAAGGATTGAACTCACAACCGTAGGCCAGTGCTCAAAACACTGAGCTATCCCTCCCCTTGATAGAAAAGAAGGTTCAAGGTAAAGGAGAATACTAAATTGGTTGATGTTTAGATTAGGGTTGGTAAAGCATAAAAAGGGCGAGACTTGGTGTATGTGTCTGTGTAAGAGAGAGGTAGAGAGAGTAGATGGAATTTGTTTTGCTCCTTTTTCCTGAGAGAAATATTTCTGTTTTTGTGATAAGCAATAGTTTCTTTGCCATAGACAAGCAGAAA